TCTTTCCTCTTTCTTAATGACTAGGTTATTCAAGTTGATCCCTTGGTATCAATAATTCAGACTTTGGGACTTGGCACTTTACAGCAGCTGAGTGCTTCACCGGAATGTCTTCCTGATAATTTGGGAAATGAAAAATCATCAACCATTAAAGAAGCTATTATGGAACAACTGGAAGGTGTAGGACAAAGTTTGGAGGTCCTGGAAAACATTGCTGAGAACCTAGGTCTAAGGTCTAATCAAGAGGTCCTGATTGAGGTTGTGGCCCTTGAAAAGTTGAAGGAGAATGCTGAACAAATTGAAAATACTGCAGAAGCTGAATATATTGATCAAATGATCTCAGTTGTATATCGTATGCATGAGCATCTTGTTACGCTTAAGCAAGCTCAGAACTCTATCCAAGTGAAAGTACCTGCTGATTTTTGCTGTCCTCTCTCTTTGGAGTTGATGACAGATCCAGTCATTGTGGCATCAGGGCAAACATATGAGCGCGCTTTCATCAAGAACTGGATTGATTTAGGACTCAATGTTTGTCCAAAGACACGTCAGACTCTGGTTCACACCAATCTAATACCTAACTACACTGTAAAGGCATTAATTGCTAATTGGTGCGAATTGAATGATGTGAAACCTATTGATCCCATTAAGTCCAAAAACATAAACCTACCATCTCCCTCTCATGGGTCTATGGAGTCTGGTTTGGTCAAGGATTCGTCTGTTATAACTAGTGGTGAAATCCACCAAGAACGAGCTTCGACATTGCATTCTTCTTCAACTCTAGGTGGTTCCTTAAATGGCATGGTTAATGGGCAGCATGTGGATCTTGAAAGAATATCACCCACATGTTCAGATGATGGCTTTGTCAGCTCAGATGAAGGGAGTGTAGATTCAGTTGACCAATCATTAATGTCACCATCTAGAAGGGAATCCTGCAATGCCTTTAGCTCAGAACAATCTCAAAATGATGACAGAACTACTTCTGATAACAACAATGATCCTCTGCTGTCAACCAATCTAGATACTTCTGGGGAATTAAATTCAGGGCCAGATGCTGTTGCAATGCCAACTCGGCATAGAGAACCTGAGTTTTCACCCCAGTTGGCAGTGCCAAGGTCTCAAAGCCACACTGTGTGGCAACGGTCATCTGAGTGGTTTGTTCCTAGGATAGTGTCTACACCTCTTGAAACAAGAGCTGATCTTTCTGCTACCGAAACCCTGGTTCAGGAATTAGTGGAGCAGTTAAGGAGTGACTCTCTTGATGCTAAGCGAGAGGCGACAGCAGAACTTCGCCTTCTTGCTAAGCACAATATGGATAACCGAATTGTGATTTCCAATTGTGGAGCCATTAGCTTATTAATTGATTTACTTGAATCAGCTGATACTACTGTCCAGGAAAATTGTGTTACAGCACTGCTTAACTTATCAATCAATGATAACAACAAAGCAGCTATTGCAAATGCCGGTGCAATTGAACCTTTGATTCATGTCCTAAAGACAGGGAGTTCAGAAGCCAAGGAGAATTCAGCTGCCACTCTTTTCAGCCTATCAGTTACTGAGGAAAACAAGATCAGGATAGGGAGGTCTGGGGCAATTGAACCACTAGTTGAGTTATTAGGGACTGGAACCCCTAGGGGGAAGAAAGATGCAGCCACTGCTTTGTTTAATCTGTCGATATCTCACGAAAACAAGGATCGGATTGTGCAAGCCGGTGCTGTGAAACACCTTGTGGAGCTAATGGACCCTGCAGCTGGAATGGTTGATAAGGCAGTGGCTGTTTTAGCAAATCTTGCTACAATAGCACAAGGGAAAACAGAAATTGGTCAGCAAGGTGGAATTCCTGTTCTGGTCGAGGTTATTGAGCTGGGTTCCACTAGAGGGAAGGAGAATGCAGCGGCGGCTCTTCTTCATCTATGCTCAGACAATCACAGATATTTAAACACGGTGCTCCAAGAAGGAGCTGTGCCACCTTTAGTAGCATTGTCACAATCAGGCACCCCAAGGGCCAAAGAAAAGGTATGATTTCATAATTTAGTTGCCTTTCTATCTTAATTTTTTCTGTTACCAAAAGAGGTGATGGATTTCTTTTTTCAATTTAGGCCCTGGCTCTCCTTAATCAATTTAGAAGCCAGAGACATGGTAGGGCTGGGAGGGGTTGATTTCAATTTTCCAACCTCGTGAGCCATCCAATGGTTTTGAATCAACTCTTACAAAACATCTCTGATTTATACGTTGCCTTATGCACATAATATGCATAAAGGCATTTTGTTTGTTGTTTACACGTGCTTGTAAAGGGGGAGAATATGTATGGAGGAGGAGCATTTGTGTACTCATGTGACACACCTCTCTTTGATGGAAGAAAAATTATGCATGCAAGTCTAACTTTTGAAGTTTTGACGAGTGACTTCTATCTTTTCTGTACTATTCCCAGTTCTCACGACTGTGTTTTTATTTTTTATTTATTTATTTATTTATTATGAAATAAAATAGAAAGAAAAGTTGTAAAAAAAAACTCTTTGGTCTCGAATATAAGTAAGAAAAAAATTCATGTTTATTGATGTTAAATGCAAGTAAATTTTAACTAATTTTATTACATTTAGTGATATTATTTTCAAAATACTCATTCATTTAATTGAGATTGTATTTTCAAATTTTTTTCATATCAAATTCTAATAAAGAATAATTAGAAAAATATATCATTTTTTAAATGAAAATAATAAAATTAAATGTTATCAATTAACTTTTTAAATTAATATCAATTATTTATTTTTGTTTATTCTCAAGACTGAGTAATAAGTATCAAGAGTTAAAAGCAACATAAAAGTTGCATGTCTCATTGTGATAATGGAGTATGTACATCTTTATCGCCAAATGTATGGTTTGCAATATCCAGTTAAATGTATGATTTGCTATATCTAGTTTATGAATCTCATAACGCTATTCCCTAACAACATACGGTTGTTGAGTGCAATTATAACAACACTATAATATATCGGATCCACATTCGTTGGCTTTTGGGAAAACTGTGAATTGTTTCGTATGTACCAATTCGGATGCCCTACCATGTTGAAGTTTGTCGTCCTTTCTGGTTCCCACGTTAACATGTAACACATGTTGTGTTACTATGGCACAACTTCCCATTCGTTACACTCATAGCAATTTTCAACTTCCCACACACAAATTCCTAGCTTCCTGCATTTTGTCACAACTTTTTCTACACACACAACCTTCCCATATGAGGATATGGTAATGTGTATATATAATATGATGACAAAAAAATGTATTTGTAACATATTAATTTATATATTATAATTTATTATAAATTGAAGTAATGTATTGAAGCATATCTACTATACTTTGTGAGGTTACGTACCCCGTATTCGTACTTATTCCATGTACCAACGCATAATGTAATGTGAATTATATGACTATGATCAAATTCCATCACAACTATGCAGTTAAGCATATTTGAATAAACGTATTACTAGGATTTATAACAACTTAATAAATTGAAAGTGTTAATTGATGTCAGTGTGTTTTAATATTAAAAAGGTACATTTTCAATTAAAAGTAATAAAACTATAATATTTTTTGAAATTGTATTTTCAAGCTAAATCATCATTTATTTTAAAAGATATCGTGCTTTCCAATAAAAACAAGAAATAAAAAATTTGAGGTTGTAGCATGAGAAAAGATCGTGTTTTCAATAAATCATTCAAAAACAATAAAGTTGTAATAAGAGAAAAGAAGTTAATTTTTAAAATTTATGGTAACAACTGTTTTTTAATAGCAGAGAAATTTTTATTAATAAAGTCAAGTAGCATAAGGTGTACTCAGACAAAGGTATTTGTACATTTTTGTAAGTATACATTAAAAACAAAACCTACAAAGAAGATGCATGCAAAAAGTTTAATGGACATTGAAATCAAATTTTGTTAAAAAAAAATAATTTTTAACTTGAGAATAATAAGAACAGTATATTCTTTGATTTCAAAAGAATTATCACAATCAAATAATATTCCTTTAACTTCTTATTTATTAAGAAACATTTAGGAAAAAAGAAAATAGAGATACCTTAAAAATCTGTGGGGAATGAAGCCTGTATATTCATCTTGAGTGGTAAAAGAGATAGAAAGAGAAGACAAAAAAATATAATATGAAATAAGAATTGTGATGAGAAACAAAAAGAAAATGAAGGAGTTATAAAAAAAATAAAATTGTATAAAATTATTATTAAAAAATTATATGAAAATATTATGTGTATTTTTTTTCTTCTTTCTTTTAGGATATGAGTTTATATATAGTAATTTGTGAGTGTAGTTCTTTTAACAATTGACTATAGACGATAAGATGATAAACAAAAAAAAAAAACGTTATAATTTATGACAGCATATTAAAAGTAATACTTATTGAAAACAATATTTCACTCCTATTATATCACTCTTTTTTTAAACAGATACAATTGTTGTAGTTGTAACAAGTAACAACAACATATTATAATTCCATGTCATAAAAAACATGCTTTACAATTATAATTCCTTACGACAACTCTAGTAAAATCCAAATTGAACCAAACAACAAAACAATATTTGAATGCACGAGAAAAACACCTTAACAGATCAACTAACAAAAGAACTCCCCCACTTTTGGGGTGTCTATGTAGCACAGTACAGAAATACAATTTATAATTTATTCCTCTAATTGGGCCTCCTACAGTGCCTTCTTATCTCCCCATTTGACCCGGTTAAAGGTTTGATGTTTCCCATCTTAATCATAGCAGCAACAAAGTCAGACTCAAAGGCTTTCTGATTGTTGCTGTAAGTTGTAACCAATGAATCTGTGGATCCTCCATTGTAAAGTTCCTGATCAGAATGAAGGAGACCCTTTTTGTTGATGAGGTTCTTGTAGTAGCTGTTGTCAAAATGGTTGGGTGTTTTGAAGTCTAGATTTGCTACATTGTTGTCTTTTGGTGTCCCTTTAGATGTCCTTGGACAGTTCTTCTCCCTTGCCTTAGCAAAGATACTGTCAATGTTCTTGTCATTGTATATGCGGTTACCATAACTAGAACACCTTGCCTTCCCAATTGTGTGTGCTCCTGAAACCACAGAGGAAACATAGGAACACTATAATGTCAAAATAACATTTTGGACATATAAACTAGGACATTAAAATATTGAAACATGATGGAAGCTATAGTGCAAAATTTCTGTATACAATTGATGCACTAATTAAATTGATACTTAATTGGTTCAATATTTTTACATTTTAATTTCATCTATAATACTCTTGCATGACAAATGATAAGTACATTTAGTAGGGTTTGTAGTCATGCATAGTAAGTATAAAATTTTTTACATTGTCAACTAATAAAAGATACTATTAATATAACTTTTAAAATAGTTATAATAAAAAGTGAAAAGAAAAACTTGCAATATATAATGATTATGATTTATGTGTAAAATGTGTTTACCTTTTTATTTTTTTGCACAATTTAGTAAATTGCGTATGTAACATAAGTATAATATACAAATAATGAGAGATATTCTTGAGGCATAATAATGCTAATAACTGAAAATGAATATAAATATTATGAAAGATTCTTGAGGAAGAATGATACTGATGACTGAAAATGATATATAAATAATACCCGAAGGGGTAGTTTTTCTTTATTAGCTATGGAAACATTCAAACATAAACCAATCAACAGTAATGTCGAATATATCTTTTCCCCAGTTAGTTAAACATGCTTTTCTTTTAATCTGACTTTTTTCTGTTTAGAAGTCGCATGGCCTTTAGCTTGAGAGAAAAGAACATGACATGCATGTACGTAGTTGTTTAAATGTCACATCCAGGTCCACAGATCCACCATATGTAAATTATTAAGTTAAAGATAATGTATTTATATAAATAACATTATTGTTTTTTTTTAGTACAACCTCAATAATGTGATGAGAGTAGCCTGTAGGGTTATTGAGCTGGTTTACAAGTAAGATTAAGAAAAAAATGTCAACAAACTCTTAGTTAAGCACAACAACTGATATGAAAATTTATATTTTCCAACATATTTTTCCTTTGTCACGATTCTCATCTTATTATTTTATATTTCTCTGACTTCTTTTCTTATCTCTCTCTTATAAAACAATTATAAGAAAAATGTAAATATGATTAGTGATATACCAGATAAGGCAACCATGTCCTTGGCAGAGAGGCCTTGAGCTTGAAAGCTTGAGATAAGGTTGTTGAGGGAAGAAGCAGGAGATGGGAGCACACCTTGAGTGCTTGCTACTTGGAAGAACCCTGTCTTGGAATCCCTTCTACCAAGTTTAACCTTCCAAGATGGCCCTCCTAGCTGCATCATTATTTTAAACATAATTAACATATAGATTACATATATTTGTAGCTCTCATCTCACACTATATATATATAAAAGAAAAAATTCGTTTACTAAATTTACTTAAACTTATTTTATTTAATAATTTATATTTTATATTAAATTTTAAATTCAATCGTTGAATTAAAAATTTTTAATGCACAAATTAAATATATAAATTTTTTAAAATTTAAAAATTATTTAATATTTTGTTTCATTAATTTAAATTGACAAATATTTATAAAATTATTTTATAAATTAATTTAAATTAATGAAATGAATTATTAAATAATTTTTAAATTTTTAAAAAATTTATAAATTTAACTTATGCAAATGATTAAATTGTTGAAATTTAATATAAAATATAAACTTATTTATAAAATAAATGAGTCTGTTATATTTATTTATTTATTGATTTTGAACTCACAATTACAACAGAGTCTCGAGCAGCAATGGCTACAATATCAGCACAAGACACCACTCCGGGGCACACTGCCTCCACCTTAGACTTGATGGCATCAATCACTTCAAAACCTCTTAGAGAATTATTGTTGGGAGGTGCAATCTTCTCCGAGGAAGCCCCATCAAGTAGTACTGATCCATCACAACCCTGTTTCCAATTAAACACACAAAGCCCCATCAACTCACTCATTTTACCAAATTCAATGCAAAGGTAAAAAATGTTACTACCTGAAATGCATGTTCAAAGAACACCAAAGTTGAATATAAATATGGGTAAATCACACAATTTCGAAAATTTTGTAAAATTATACACAAATTTTTTTTTTTACTTTTTTGCATGATAACATTGTAATGTTTTTCAAACGAGTAAGTGAAGTAGTGTAATATTTGAGGGGTATTGGTGTAATATTTTTTAAACAATTAAAAAATTAGTGTATAAGTAAAAAAAAAAAAAGTATATATGTAATTTCACGAAATCTTGAAGAAGTGTCTATCTAATTCAATCTATAAGTATTGACATGTAGATAATACTTTGTAATTAAGCCATTATCTTTCCCTTCTTGTTGGAAATACGCTAATTATACAAAACGTAAATGAAATGTTAATTTGAATAGTCAAATTTGTGGATTGTGTTAAATTAATGTACTGTACATGTACACAAAGGAAATTAATGAAAAGGAAAATAAGAAGTATGAATTATTTATTATTTATTAAAAGATTGTACTCATTTGTAAAACGCTTTACATTTGTATAAATAAGTAGAATATAATATCAGTAATTACACGATGACTCAAATTCGACTAAGAATATTAAATTTATTCTCAGAGATTCGGACCTATGGCCTGTAAGCCGGAAAACCTATGTCTTAAAAAAATAGTACACGTATAACCATAGACACATCCAGATAAGAGTATTTTCACTTTCATTTTTTTATTGGTGATGTCACATCATCGAATAAGACTGATTGAAAGAGATGGAAACTTAGAAAGAAAGAAAAATACACGTTTGATGGTCAATACCGTAACATAAAAAGAACACAGTATTACACTATAATAAAATTAAAATATACTTGTATTATAGTAATTATGATTATCCATTTACAACACATTAGGAAGAAATGTGTGAACGGTATGTGAAATCTTAACTTAGAAAATTTTGTTCCCAACCAAATGAAATTTTGTCCCATTGATGCTAAAAATTAAGCATTAATTATCCATTATCCCTAAATAAAATATTTGTTATGATATATATTATATAGTGATACAATATTTATTATTAAAAATTATTTTTATTTATATTATATATAAATACATGTTGATATATTATTAAAAATATAAATATATACTATAATATCATAATATATTATTAAATTTAATTTAAAATTAATACTAAAATTATGTATATTTATATGTGAAATAAATTTATATCTACATATATTATATATATATATATATTAACATTTTTGTATGTAGTATTTTTTTGTATTGATCAATTGAGAAGTTAATATCTATATACATAAAGTATTATAGTATATAAGAAAAGAAAAGTAGAGACTTAGAAGCTTAGGTTAGGAGTAATATTTACATGGACAAAGCAGTCATGGAAGAAGAGGCGAAGGAGAGACCCTCCCATGCGAGGTTCTTTAGCCACGGCAGATTGAACAACAGATTTCACAGCATAGAAAACCTTGGGACATTTATTAGCATAGAAGTTCTCAGAGAGTTGAGCTGAAGAACTTCCTATAAGCAAAATTGTCGTGAACAAAGCTAAAGCAAAAGTGGTTGTTGAAGAAGAAGAAGAAGTTGCCATTTTGATTTGCTAAGTAAAGCTTATAGAAGATGAATGATGTTATAGAGAATGCAATGAAGATGTTACAATATATAGAGCGTGACACAAAGAGGGTGTGTGAGATGGCTACTCATTCTCACCTAATCATCGAGAACTCGACAAATTAGTGCATGGCACATAACATTTATGTCTAAGTCTGGAAAATGTAGTGGATTGAATTGACCGGTTGAAAAAGATGAAATTAAGTTGGTAAATTTTTTTTTTAATTAGGAAAACACAAGGTTCTGGTGAAATGAACTTGGTCGATAAATTAAATTATTATCTATGTCTTTGTCCTTAGTATGTAAATTATAGGGTCCATATATGTTTGGTTGTTTGTTATTAAAGAATATGTATCAAGGTTGACTATTCAAAAGTTGCAAAAAGGCCCATGCTATTTGTTTATTATATTATATAACAAAGAGAAATGCTACTTGTATTGCGCTATATTATCAAATATATAAAATAATTAATGAAAAGTAAAATCGAATCTTAACCAGCTAAGATCTATTGGCAAAGTTGACGATGAAGATGCATGCAAGGCTCAGGCAAGAGACGCCAGAGAGCTCGACAATTCATAAAAGTTACCCAATCAAAATTGCCTGCATTTAGTTATATATAATTAAGAATAAAAAAGTGTTTACTATTTTATATATAAGTATTATTTGGGTTATATCATTATCAATCATCATCTATAATCCCTTTTATCTAAACATTATAGAAACCTGTGGTGGAGCTTCAATCAATTAAAATTTTAAAGGCATATATATAAGTTCATAGAAGATAATGGAATTGTTTGCTGTTAATTATTTCAGTATAGTAAATAGCAAGAAGGTACTGTGGGGGTGCTAAATATTAATTTTTCAACCACAACCTTTTTATTTTATTCATATATATCCAACGTCATGTACTATATATCCCAACACAACCTGAATCCCGCGAAATCCACCACACAGCTTGCACATGTATTAATATTTATCACAGTTCAGTTATGTGTTAACATTATCATTGCTTTCAGCAACAGTTTATTATAATTTAGGAATTTGAGAACCACAATTAATTTTGTTTTTCCTGTAAAATATATATCTTTGTTGAGATTTTGCATAGATGTCACTAAATCTTCTATTTGACATATTGGCAATGAAGCTAAGTAGCCCACGTACCACTCGACACTCGTTTTCTGTAATCCAATATCTTTCCCTAACCTTATCAACTAATTGTTCTCATTTCCCAGCATGTGAATATAAATTTGGCCACATTTTCGAAAATAATACAATTCACGTGTAACTATAAAGACCATTTATAACAGTAACCCTAAATCAGGTGAGAGAGCTTGCATGTGAATTAACATTAAGCGACGGTAGTTTCATCTTGTAAACGGCGGAACAAACAAGTGTAGTCTTGATATTGTACGTTGATGTTCCTCTTCCTAAGATTAACTTCGGTTTGGACTTTGGACCTTGTCAAGATTGTCCATACAAAATCAACATTTGATGGGACTGAAATGCCCCCAAAATCAATGATAAAAAATAGCATCAATATATTTTCATATAGCAGCTACAATGTAAAGCTTACAAAGTATGCATTTGTATTGTGTTATTTCCATATACCACATAACACTTTGCAACATGAGCTAGAATGGATAGAAAGAAGAATAAAAAAATGTCTTATTATATATATTTTAACGAGGAAAATAAGAGACAAATTTAACTTATTTTTATGTGGCCAAAATTTTGATGAAGTTATTATTAAAATCTAAACCAATCAAATGATGAATTAAATGAATATCATCGAGTTAACTCTATATTTTAATATAATATATTAATATTAATATTAAATTATAGAATGAAAATTATAAAAATTAAATTAAAATATATCTTATAATATATTTAAAATAAATAATATCATTATAAATATAATATTATGTTATATAAAATAGTATTTATTAAATAAAAAATATTATTAAAATAATTATATTTTTAAAGAAAAAATATATATATATATATATATTTAAGTATTTAAGAAATTAAGTTTGAATGGTTAAACGATAACATAATTCTTCTTAAAATATTTTATTATATATATTTTTAGTGGGACAAGTAAGGAACAAATTTAATTTCATTCTTATGTAGCTAAAATTTTGATAGAGTCATTATTTAAATCTAAATCAATCAAATCATGAATTATATGTATATGATCAAGTCAACTCCATATTTTAATATAATATATCAATATTAATATTAAATTATAGAATAAAAAATAAAAAATTAAATTAGAATACATCTTATAATATATTTGAAATAAATAACATTACTATAAATATAATATCACATATATATACATTAATATATATATATATATAT